GAGTGATCAGTCAGAAATAAGAAGGCAAAAATAAATAATAATATTTATTTTAACATTTGCCGACTTTTCGACCTGAAGTTCAGGCCTTTATCAGGGCCCCTTCATAAGCTAACTGTAATTGAGTCTAGAACCATCCTTCTCTTCATAACTTATTTTACCTTTTTTCATATTATCTGTGTATGTCTAAGATTTTTTTATGTTTGATAAAATTTAGTATACTTTCAAAGCTTTTTTTTTTTTTTATTTCTTTATGACATTTACAACTGTATTACATAAATACATCAAGTTAATTTGGACATAATTGATATAATGACATGAATACAATTGCTGAGTAACTACCCAATGGTAGCACTCTAATGATATGACTACGTTAGGAGATCACGGGGCCATCTTCTTTTCAGACGCCTCGGAGGGTTATCAGGAATTGAAGAGGAAGCAAGGTTAGAAACGAGAGGGTTGGAATGATTCTGAAGTTTATTATGGAAGGATAGGTATCTGGATTGGGCCAGATCTGAAACATAAGGAACATTAAGATCTTTATGGATAATTTTATTAGTGACAAAGTAAGGAGCATTGAGGATTTTACGAAGGATTTTAGATTGTAAGGATTGGATGCGAGAGGAATTCGATGGTTTAGTGGAGCCCCATAGCTCAGCTCCGTAAGTCCAAATAGGTCTTATTATAGTCAAGTATATGAGTCTTTTGTAATTAATGGGAAGTTTAGAGCGTTTGTCTAGTAAGTGCTGAAGTAATCGGAAACGTCGAGCGGTTTCTTGTCGTTTCAGTCTAGTATGAGGATTCCAAGTTAGTCGTTTGTCCAGGTGGAGTCCTTGGTATCGGATTTGCTCAACAGGGATAAGTGGAGTATTGTTAAAGGAAACTGTAGGACAGGAAGTCGTTGGTTTACGACGAAGACTTTCAAAGCTAACCTAGTTTATATAGTAATATTTTAAGTCTATCAAGGTCTTCCACAAAATATCTGAGATGAGAAATATGTAACTGGAACCATGTTTATTGATGATAGACAAATATGAATGGAAGAGTTATGAATGAATTTTCTATTTAACTGCTTCATCTGCTGAGTAGTTGATCTCTCTACTATGGTGAAATTTGTACCTGGTACCTAACATATGATTTTAAAGGCCCGCAGGTGTGCTAGGCCAGGTGTAGCTAGAGGCGACATGCAGCTGGTACGTCCCGTATTGTATTCCTTTAAACCGCACGGTGGCTGCTCTGATTTCGAATTATTGCACGTATTTATTATTCTGGAAAGCGTATCATTATTAATTATAATAAATTAAAATATAAGTCAGTGAGAATCAATATATAATTCTTTTCAACTAGATTTTTCCATCTCTCTATACATCCATGTTTCCTGTTATCTGTATGCAGCTCTACAATAGGATGGCGACCTATCGTAAAACTAGAAAAATTGGAAAAGTCAGGAAATTTTCAGTGCAGGGAAAAGTCTGGGAGAGATCAGAGACAATCTTTTAAAGTCAGGGATTTTTTTTTTTATTCCTAAATATTTTTTTCAAATTAGAAATAAATGTATGTAATTCGAAAATGGAAAATTTTAATGTAAGCTGCAGCCTTCATTGCAAGCTATAAACTTTGCTTTAGCTTTCATTATTATGAGTGCCTGGGTCTTTCATTATTGTTATAAAATATAAAACCACATCGATATTTCAACTGCCCTGACCCATCATATTTTACTAAATATATTTTTATGTTCTTCCTTTAATTTATAGGGAGATAAATAAATTGAAACTCCAACTCATTATTAATTTACTACTTTTATTTTACACATTAATTATTAATACTAAAAAATATAATTTAAAACCATGATTGACAAGTCCAATGCAGGTCGTTTATGTTAGTTTCAGATTTTTTTTTTATTCTGTTTTGAACTGCAGCAACCACAATTTTAGTTTTGAGATATTCAATAGTTGATAAGAAGTAGTATTGTTTCAAAAACTCGATGTTACTGATAGATTAGGAACGGTAGATTTGCCTTCTGGTTTTTAACAGTTAATATTGGCAAACGATAGATACCTATATATTATTTAAATTATATTTTTATTTAAAGTATGTGGATATGGTCGTAGCAATTCATTGGCTGGCAAGCACTCGTTCGTCTGATTTCAATCTTATCTAATAAATAAAGTTGGTTATATACCTCGAATTTTTAACATTTGTGTCCCGTGACATATTGATCAGAGAAAACTTTCATTAAATAGGGATAAGTCAGGGAATTGTTCATCTTTGTTTATTCGATTTGTCCATCTACTTTACTATTCTTATCAGTTATTGAGGTATGTGCTGATTGCTCCGAACTACAGTTTCGGACTACACCCTGCCCTCTTGTACTCCTTGCCTTCATATCATCAGATATTGATTGAAACAGTTTCTTTATTGGTCCTTCTCCTTCATTGATACTCTGGTCGAAAACTTGCAATAAGAGCGCGCCTGTTCATCCCCACTTATCCTTCCATTCTCATATTTGAGTTGTCGCACTCAGTAGGAATAGTAGAAAAACTTGTCTTTTGTGGCTAAATGCATGACGTAGTCATGCCTACATTCTCCTGACATTGCTCTGTCCCTACCACTTATCTTTAACGGATATATATGCCTAAGAAAAATTTGGGACTTTGCCATGTTTATTCTGATAACCTATTCTTCACCGATGAATAAGTAACATTATTGAAACAATTCTTCGTTATTATTGTTAAAAATTTTTTGTTTTAGTTAAACCTTCTTTAGGCGCGGTGTGCACTTTTTTGTGAATTATATTGAGCCGTCAGATTTCCAAAGTGTGTAACGCTCGGATAAAGTCAACTGGAATCGGCTAATTGAAGTGTTTTTGCATATGGATTTAAATATCTCAAAGACTAAAAATCCGTCTTGCATATTGTTGCATAATTCCATATTCTCTGTAATGAATTATTATTGAAAATTGTATCTTAACGCCGTGTTAAAGAGGTGAAATGGGAAAACAAATAGTGTCGTAAACCAAATGATAACGAGTTTTATGAGAATTAATATATCTCCGAAACTAAAAATCGGACCTGCATACTATAAGCGAGGGAAACGTTCAGAATTTCATCCTCTTTATAATGAGCTGTTATTTATAACTTATATTACATATTATTGATCTCTCCTTGTTGATGTTTTCAGTTCTATCGTGTGCTCTAAAGCACACACCGTAGTTTTTTTTAACATTATTACGTTATCAGATTGCCGACTAATTGCTAAAATGATTATTGACGATATATCCAAAAAGAGAAGACAAGAAGAGATCCGAGAGGAATCCTTCCCAATTGGCTAACCAGCTGGCCCAAGAGGTCAGGGGTCCTGCGAAGAGGACAGAGCCATCTCTCTCACACACCCTCACAGTGCAATATTCCCTGGGGTTGTTATGTTTACTGCCGCCTTTAGCCATCATATAGTACCCCAACTATCTGCCATTATACAATTATATCCTTTCTGGAGTTAGGTATTTATAGTAGTGGCATTTTCATTAAGTTTAATTGACAAGTGTTAGTAGTTTAAGTAATTTTCCATTTGGCTAACCACATTTTGCAAATTTCTAGTTTTGGTTTCTTTAGAATGTCTTCTCTTGTGATTTTATTGATCGTTGATTTCGTGATTGTTCTGGCTCTCTTCCCAAACGCGCCGCATGATCCGCCCATAGTCCATTACCGGTGATTCGGCGATGTTATTATATTCAAATGAGCACAAATTCCTTTTGATTATTGATATTTTTCTAATAAATAATAAAATATTAAAATAAATAATAAATAACAAAATCAAATAAGTCTAGTTGAAATTTTTATTATTATTATTTATTTTAGAGAAAGGATATGATCGGGGGTGGCGGTCATAAATAGACTAAAAAAGTGTAAAAACTACTTTATTCAATCTATATATCTTCACATCCCTTTATGTCCATTATTTCATATTCTTTTTCATTTTCTTCCAATCTCCTTGAAATCTGTAGGAGTATATTCATAATTGCATATATTATAGTACAACAATTGTTGTCATCTATTTACTTCAGTTTAGGATCTGGTTACTTAGCTTACTCTGTTTAAATATGTTTTTGTTCTTAATATTCCAATGTACTTACTGTTTATAACTTCAATACAATTATTCACCTTGTTTGTTCAATTTTTATCTAAATATTATGTAACTTACACAATTTTCCGTTTTGTATCTTGTCTGTTCTAGCCCTGAAGAAGACCTGCAAAGTCGGGTCGAAACGTTGGCTTGAAATAAAAAACTTTTTTCCCACTATTTAGTCTATTTATGACAACCACCCCGGACCATCTCCTTCCTCTAAAATACACAGCGGTCATCTATTAAGTATTATTAATTATTATTTTTTTGTTGGCCTTTAGGATATCATAGGATTTCAAAGGCGAACGCGTTGAAGTTTTGTCCATTTTAACATTCCCGAGTCTAGCGGCGCTGGTTTAAATTTAGGCGGGGTTGGGTTGTTACTTTTTTTTCTTGGCACGGGGGATATATGTCAAATTTAAAAGCAAATCTGCACCGAGACGAGAATTCTTAATTATTTTTATCCAATTATCTTCCATCAGGTTGCCGGATAAAGCAGTGTTTTGCACACGGTTAGCCCTAGTAAAAGCCCCCTCCGTATTTCACAGGAATAGTGAGATAGTGTATTGGCGATACAAAAGATATGTTTCTCATGCCATTATAACTGGTTTAAATAATTGAAAAATCTTAAATATCATATATAGATATGTCGTTAGCTTGCAAGTAATAGTAATTTCTACAATTCGCAAACAATGTATTTTGACCTGTTAAACATAATTAATTTATTCAATGCCTTATTAGGCTGTAGTTTAGTGGTTGAAATTCATGTTGTCGGGGTGTTTTTCAAAAGACAGGGTAATTCATTTATATACACACATATATGTAAAGGTTCAGTATGTTGTGTAAAAAAAAATATATCGTGCTACTTATAAAATATTTTTTCTAATTTCAATTTTTTTCTCATTGCAGGAGACTTGTAAAGAACTACCAGCCAAAGAAGAAAGACGAAGAAGACTTCCAGTGAGTATAAATTTCTTATTAAAAGTTTGATTTTTTCTTCTTTATAAACTGCTTTGTTATTTATTTATTTGTATTTTTTTGGTATTATTAGATTCCAAAAAAAATTAATAAATAACTTTTTTTTATCGTGCTTCATGTCATAGACGGATATCTTTCATTTTTAGAAAATGAAGGAAAAGTCAATTTCTGTTTAATAGTTTCAACTTAAACTGTTTATTTACAGTGTTTAGTTAAACTGCTTATTTTATTTAAGAACGTTCAAGTTGAGTAATGAAAAAAAAAATCATTAGAATTGGTTTAAATGCGAGCTATGTTACAGAAAATTGTATTTTTCTCAACTTTTTGAAAATGACGGATATCCGTCTTTGATGTGAGGCCATTCTTATTATATATTTTCTCTTTTTCTACAGTATTTATTGAACTATTCGGGTTTTTTTTATCTGTTAATGTTTATCTGATTATAAGATGTTTATCTCTTGTCTATATTAAGGTTCATTAATTAATGTTCTGCATCAATCATCTATTCTCCTGCCCTTTATTTGCTTTTATATGAGGGACAAAAGTCTCGCGTTGTCCTGGAAGCAGTGCTGGACCTCGGGTGGGGCAACTAGGATGGAAGCCCCGGGGTGTCGATGTGGAGGGTGTAGACAGTTCTTCAGGGGTGCTTGCGATTTGTTAGAAATTAGAAAAAAAATGCAAAACGTATTAATTTTAGCCTATAAATAAAGCAACTGTATCAGAGAAATGTTGTATGAAATAAAATTCAAATATTATATAATATAAAATAGCTTAAAAATAAATTTAATTTCTTAATGGAGGAGGGAGAGAGATGACGTCATTGCCTGGGGGAATGTCTAAGGCTGTAACTGAATGGAACATATTAAATATCATTAGATACCTTATTAATAATAAGGTAATTATGTATCATGGAAGCCTTGCATCCTATTTGATGTCATTTTAAACTGTTGACTTGAACCACATCAATAATGACGGCAGGTCAGTCATAACCTTTGATTGAAGTGGTAACCTGCCTGGTTGAATGAACTATTTAATCATGGAGCAAATCAGCAATCATCTAGAAGGATCTCCCAACAAGACGGAACACTTCCTCGCGGTGAAGTGGATGACAAAAGACGCCGCTCATGATCGTCATCTAGCGAATAGCCCACTTCCTGCCATATGTTCTCATCGCCTTCTAGGCGTCTCCTTCTATTCCTCTACTGTCTCTTAAGGAGAGGACTTGTCGGCTCGTCCATATCTATTGTCCATATCCATATATACCACGGGCGTCATTCTGTTTCAGTTATTAGAGTGGGGAAACCATAATATATTGTGAAACATTTTTTAGTGAACATTTCTCTATAGCGGCCAATTTTTATAGACCTCTCATCAAGTTTTAAATAATTTAATACTATTAATGCCTTCCGCCGCATTCCAAACCCTCTAAATAACTAACACGGACAGGTTTTGATTTTGAATTATTTTGGTTGCTTGGTTTGAATAAATGAAAATAAATTATTCTGTGACTAGTGTCCCTTTAGAACATATTATAATTACAGAATATAAATAAACATGTTAGATTGTTCATAAAATAAAATAAAATATTTACAAAATAATTGATAGTACAAAGTAAAAATACAGATAATAAAAACATTTTCGAAAATATAAAATAAACAGAGAACAATTAAATAAATAAAACGATATAATATGTGGGGATACTTTGAGAGACTTGCGACCTCTAACTTGTAATATATAACCTCTAGACTCTTAAGCACTTTTCAAGATCAATCGAATTGGGAATGGAATAGGTACTTAAAGAGGTACTTATTTGAAAGAAGAAACTGGCTTTGCGTTTCGAATATCGGGAGGTATAGAATTCCAGAGGGCTTGAATTACAAAGGATTTATTAAACCCAGTAGTTCGGTGAGGAGGATAGAGGTTGGACGTACGGGATCTGATGGGATGAGGTTGAATGCAGGATTTAAATTGTAGGCCCTGTAGAATATAGGAGGATCGCCGAGTTGTGATGGCCTGTTATAGGAAGGTAGCAAGGAAGTAATGACGGCCACTTCAACTCGGTGTAATGCAGGATAATGTGCGTATCCCTTGTAAGATCCCGAAGATAAAGCGCACTAAGCAATTTATTAGGCGTTTAAGTTTGGCTTCGAGTTCTACCGAGAGTTTACCATACACCGTACAGCCATAGTCGAAGTGGTTGGAAACAAAAGAGGAAACCAGGAGTTGGTTGTTATCTGTGTCGGGCTAGGAGTTGACGTCTGTCTGACTATCCACTATCTACTGTGGGAATCATATATAAAGAAATAAAAAAAAAAAAAAAAAAATAGTTGTTTTCCGAATAGCTCGAATACTCTCATATGTTAAGCAAAATTAATTAATAATAAAGTATATTTGCCAGTATTTGCAAGGATGCACCATATTGTTATTTGAGTCAGTTTTATTTAAATGTTCCTTTATGATCCGGTCAATTGAAGCATTTATGTGTACTATAGTTATTCTTATCATTATAAAACCTCTACATGGAATAATTTAATTGTAACGGGGATAAAAAATTTGGCGGTCGCAGCCGCTGCTAACAGTTTGTTAGTCATACACAATAGCGGACCCTTGGAGGAAAAAAAATACATATGTGAAATGATGTCATGTTTATGTGGTCCTTGAAGAAAAAAAAATAAATAAAAAAAAAATTCGGTGATTATAGGAACAATAATGGATAAATAAATTTCTTATATTATTTTGTAGCTGAATATACTAATAAGTATTTAGCTTTTATCTCTAACATAAACATGTGTGGACCAATGAAAAACAATATCTTTTTTACCATTTTAGGGAGCTTCTGCCCGTAAGGTTCCCCGTAGATCTTTTTTAAAAAAAAATCTCTTTATTGATTATTTCTTTATTAGGGCATCTTTTTTGGTGTTTTTTTTTTTAGTGCTTTTTCTATGAAGATTGACCTGACACCATTCTATCTTGGACCGAATCTCCTTCTAAGGGATAGGATTAAAAAAGAACATTCTTACCATATCCAAAGTCGAAAAAAATAAATTGAATATAATAACATATTGCAATTAAAAATACAAAACAATTAAAGGAAAAGTTACTTTGCTTTAGTTCCATTACCTTTTGGTTAACACTTCTAAAATTACTATCTTGGCTATTTCTGTTGCGATGGGATCATAATCAAGCGGCATGACTATAGTTAGATGCAGGGTCAATCTCTCATTGCATCTCTCAGCTCAATTAATCGTGGCATTTACTGCTCTTTATTTGTCTATGGGGACATGATCGAGCATTAACGAAACAAAGTCATCTTGATGAAGATCATAGCTTTATTTATACTTATGTTATCCAAGTGGTCGAAATTAGACAATGATCATTATTAGACATTTGCGGACAACAAAACAGAGGAAAACTTGATTTTTTTTTTTTACTCTCATATAATCGTATATAAACTCTTATATCGAAGCGAAATATGTGTACCTTGGGCCACCCTAAGAATAAGATAGTGCACCGGGGAGAAATTCAGGATTTGTGGCAAATTTGAGTAGTAGGAATATTGATAAGAATGTATAAGATTTGGTAAAGTAATTCTTCGTTACTTTATATAATAATTTGTATTCAAAAACTAAATAGCCTGCGGCTATGCGTCCACGTATTAATTTTAGTACGGATTTTTGTTCTATCTTTAGCTGAGGGAACTCTGTTCTGTTTCCTTACTGCTCGGTTTCCTGGATCTTGCAGGGTCTCCTAAAGGTCACTTTGCTCCTCCGAGAAAGGAAAACCGCTTTAAAGGGTGGGGGCCGGTCGAGTGTTGATGATGATCAATTGTCCACAACTAGCCGCCACTTTTCCAATCTGTCCCTCAGCCTTCTAGAGCTGGAGGAAAGAGTTGGTACTTTTCTTCTAAGTTAGTGAATATAATCATTATAGAGAATGGGTCATTAAAAAAAAAAGTACTATAGTTTCTAAAATGTCGATATTGCCGGTTATATCGGTATAGAATCTAAAACTAGAAAACTAGAATATATAACACCATTATCTTACTTATAGTTCTTTAGAAATAGAAATAGAAATAGAAAATAACTTTATTCTGGGACAAAGCTCCTTTAGAATAACAAAATAGAACATAATTAAAATACTACATCTGGCCAGAATAAAACAATAATGAAAAAGAGAAAGTAAAGAAAATATTAATCAAACAAGCTATATACAAAAAAAAATTATATACAAAACACTTAAAACTATGATAAAACACTTAAGACTATGTACAGTAGGAAAAATTATAATTATACTCTTTTGAAAAATAAAATAATAAAAAGTACATTGAGTTCTTCTTTAAAATGAGGTGTGTTTCTGCTAACAAAGTAATGACAAACCTGACAATATAAAATATCAGTGTATTTAAATAATAATTAATATTTAGACTCATCATTGTCAAATGCTAGCTATAGGTACAGATTTAATTATATACGAATAAAAAACAATAAAAAAACAAAAAAAGAAAACAATAGATGTGGTCACTGGCATTAAGAGCAGGAAGATATTGTAATATCCCTAGTGAAGATTACAGTATAGAATAGTACTATCGTATGATGATGACTAGAAATGTATAATATCGAAAGTTTAGCAAGTATCTGACTGTTTTTGTGATAGGAATTGGAATAGGAGAGATTTGAATGTGGGTATGGAGGGGTAATGTCGAATTTTGATAGAGAATTCCAGAAATTGACAGCGCGAGCTATAAAGGAATTTTGAAATGAGGCACATCTGTGAGAAGGGATGTAGAGATCAGAAGGTCGAGATCTAGTTGAAAGGGAATGGACTGAGGACTTGAATTGGAGAAGGTTGTAGGCGTAAGAAGGACGATGGCTGTTGATGATTTGATAGAGGAACGTACCAAGGAAATATTGTCTTCTAAAGGAGGGGAAGAGCCACCTTTATGGATGCGATACTGTATAATATCCTAATCGAGCAGGGGATTCCAAAAAAAACTAGTAAATCTAGTAAAGATGTGCTTGACGGAAACACTCAATAATATTAGAATCGGTAATAATCTGTCCGAATAGTTTGAGGTTCTTTCGGGTTTAAAACAGGGGGGTTCCCTTTCGCCTGTCCTGTTCAATTTGGCATTACAACATGCCATTAGGGAGGTAATGCGTACCGAAAAAGGGTTGGATCTGGGTGGGACAACACCCGTGCTGGGCTATGCTGATAATCTGGTACTGTTAAGCGAAGACGTGAGAACTATTTAACTAAATACGACAACGTTAATGAATGTCGGCAAAGAACTAGGGTTCAAAATAAACACGGACAAAATATATCGTTAGCTACAAAAATAGTCATATTGCTGGTGACATCGATATAGATGGTAATATGTTTGAACAGGTAGAGACGTTTAGGTATCTTGGGTCTACGATAACTAAAAAATATTACATTGAAGAAGAGATTAAGGCTAGCCTGAAGGCGAGAAATGCTTGTTATTTTTTGAGACAAAACTACTTAGTTCGCGCCTCTTGTCCCTTAACTTAAAAATTAGAACCTATAAAACCATTGTCTTACCTACTGTTCTTAATGTATACGAACCATGGCCGCTTACATTAAGGGATGAGCAACGTCTCAAGGTTTTTGAAAATAAAGTATTGTGTAGAATATTCCGACCGAAGAAGGATGAGTTAACGGAAGAGTTTGGACGGTTACACAACGCCGAATTAGGTGAACTTTAGCCGGTTAATGTAATTGAGGTGATTACATCGCGGCGAACCAAATGGGCTTGTAAGATTGTTAGGCTCAGTAACTAAAGAATTCCTAAAAGGTTAATATTTTCTGAACCTAATGGTAAACGTCCGATGGTTAGACCGAAGCGAAGGTGGGAAGATTGCATTAAAGCCGATCTGAAGTGACTAGGTTTGGACGGCGAACGGTGGAGGGAGGTGTGTAATAAGCGATTGGTGGTGTCAGCATCGAATCTTCGGGTTCTCTTGGCCTTTTATTATTATTATAGTTTCAAAAATGTTTACCTCCCATTTGCAAATTTTTAAAAAAACTGATAAACCTCTTTTCAGTTCGTCTCTGTTGCCAGTTTAAAATGACTGCAAACATAATGTAAAATAATCATTTTTGTTAAATACTTTTATTAACTGTAAAGGAGAACGAATCTCATCTGTAAAAAAAATGTATTGGAATTAAAAAAAAAAAAATTAGCAGTGTGTAAATAATCCTCTGGAAGCTTAACTGGAATGCTAACTTACCCTGCCCAAGATTGGGTAGGTCAATACTTTATAGAGTACGGTAGAGAAGAGGAGATAATAATAGTAGCTCGCTGAATTATTGAGCATTATTGATCGAGTCGTTCACGAACATTATTTATTGGAGCGGTGAATGCCCTAGCAGAATGAAATATGATAATTCTGATGTGTGTTAATTTGAGTTAATTTCAACAGACCTGGTAAAATATATCAACATATATATTTATATTTGTACTCAGGAGGTAATGGTAAAGAAGACCACGTTCATTCTTATATTAGTTCATGGGGACTAATGTTCCATAACTTAGGCTATTAAAATTTGTTTCTTAGTTACTGAATATATATTCCAGAGGTAAAACACACCATGTCACATTTTTCTATTTGTTTGAGGAGGCAATTTTCCATAATTTGAGCCATTAAAATTATTTTGCCTGTTTCAAGGTCATTGGTTGTGCCTTGAGATGATCGGGCCGAAATCACGCTCAACCGCCAGGTTTTCCCGTTTAATTATGTAATTACGAGTATTCACTTTATACAGGATTTCCTGATTCCAGCGTCGGTCCACATGTAACAGAATAAATAATTACGTGCCACAGCTTGACTCGGATTATAGGAAATCAGTGCAGAGATGAACTTAACTTTGTGAATCATGAGTTTAAAATCGAAAATTGAACTTGTACCTTTGTGAAAATTCGAATCTTTCAAATGCGTTTTCCCATAAATATGATTTTTGGATTTAAAACACTATAAACATCTGCCACAAAAATATTTATGAAGGAATTGCACATATCATTCAGTGCCTGTTTCAAGGCCAACGGTTGTTCATGGAGGTGATTAGGCCGAGATCACGCTCAACTGTCAGGTTTTCCCTTAATTAAGAAAAGTTAATAGTTAACCGTTGTATTATTAAGTAAGGTGATGGTCCAGGGTGGCGGTAATAAATAGACTAAATTGTGGAAAAACTATTTTATTAAAAGCCAACGTTTCGACCCGACTTTGTAGCTCTTCTTTAGGGAGGTGTGTTCAGCAAAGAGTTTCAGTTAGAGAATTTTAAGTCCTTGCTGAACACACCTCCTTGAAGAAGACCTGCAAAGTCGGGTCGAAACGTTGGCTTTTAATAAAATGGTTTTGTCACTATTTAGTCTATTTATGACCGCCACCTCAGGCCATCTCCTTCCTTTATAATGCTATTAAATATTATAATGCTATTAAATGTCAACTATTAAATATTCAACATTTTAATTTTATTCTTTTCATCAATAAATCAGATCAGTAGAGTCAATATTACTTGGATAATATTTAATCTGTAATTGGTAATCTGTAATTAGAGGTTATTGGCGTATTATTCACTTGGCTATATATATATTATAGGAAATTCAGTTGGTCAATTTATTCACCTAAATATTTTAAAAACAATAATAATGATTACACAGCAAAGCAACTTAAGATGACGAAGTGAAATTTTATATTTACCGTCTTTGTTTTCTTAAGGATCTTTAATAGTAAATCCGCCTCAAACGATATGCCGTTGGTACCACTATTTTCGGTCAGATAGAACTCTGCTTTTTCTTTTCGTTTTTGGGTGGTTCACTCGTACATCTAAGTATGCTGTGCTGTAAAATAGTTCACGAAGTACAAATTGTAGAGTGCGGTATTTCATTAAGCAGCATCCGAGGTGCTGGAAGAGTAAGCACCGTGAATATTCATAACGGCCGCTTATATAATAGATTGTGTCACCGGGCTGTAAATCATGGCATCAGTGGGAGGATGACATAACAATCTCACGCGTCGTTTAATAATCGCCATTATCATCGCTTCTTGGATCGCCCTCATTTATTTTTTTACATATCCGTCGAAGCTTGAAGAAATTAGCACTGTTATCCCGTTGTAAGGATAAAAACCATATCAATAGCCGTAAGCCCAGACCACTTGGGCCGCTTTGAGGTTCTCGCCCTGGAACCTCGCTGGAACAGTTGAGAATCTGGAGCTCCTTCCGTAGTGTCTGGAAGTTCCCACGGTGCAGGTTTTTTTTTTTATCACCTGCTGTGTGTAGAATGGCTCCATGGATTTACCGAAAGGCGCAAATTTCATAAGTATTCTCGTAGCATCACTGGGGTAGAAAATATTTATAAATAATTATTTAAATAATCCCTCCCTTTAAAAATCCGACATACTCCCTCCTTATCCAATGGCTTTTTAAAAAATAGTCAGAAAATGGCTAACCACATGTTAAGTTTCAGTGCCTTGTTTAAAAACCAATGTTTTATGGATTTATATATTTTAAAGGAAGGAGATGATCGGGGGTGGCGGTCATAAATAGGCTATATAGTGGTGAAACTATTTTATTAAAAGCCAACGTATCGACCCTACTTTGCAGGTCTTTTTCAGGGCTAGAACGGACAAGGTACAAAAAGATAGAGAATTGTGGAAGTTACTTAATATTTAGACAAAAAATTATAAACAATGTGAATAAGCTTATTAAAATTATAAACAGTAAGTACATTAAAATATAAACAGCGAAAGCTAAGTAACAAGATCCTAAACTGTAGTAAATAGATGGTAAAAATTGTTGTAGTGTAATATATAATATATGCAAATGTGAATATACTTCTACAGGTCTACAGGAGAGATTGAAAGAAAAAAAAAATGTAAATAAAATTAGAAGAATAAAATTAGAGACTGAACACAGTTGTGTTCAGCTAGGAGTTTCACTTAAAACTGGAAAACGAGGGTAAGGGCAAGTATTAGGGAATTTGCTGACTTATTTGGGTAATGGGGAAAACCTAGAAAATTATAGTATCTAAAATTTGAAGATAAGGATGGATACAAGGGAAAAAATACTATTTATATATATATAATAGAATTAAGAGATTACGTTGGCTTATAATAAAATAGTTTTACCACTATTTAGCCTATTTATGACCGCCACTCCGGACCATCTCCTTCCTTTATAATGCAACAGTCAACTATTAAATATTCAATGTATATATATATATATATATATATATATATATTTATTTTTTTTTTCATTTCTCCTAATGAACTTTTATATATTCTTAAGTTTGCTTTCAGAAGTATGAATGATGATAGAATTGTGATTATTTAAAATATAACTAATTATGAACCTTTTATTTATTATATATTCAAAGTTATATAAGTTCTTTATAACTTGAATTCTATCGCAGCTCAAATATAGGAGATTTTCGAGTACTCAATTTCATTTCAAGGTACCGAATATTCTTCATGTTAACATTAACCTGTTGATAAAATTGTTTCCCTTTTTTTTTTTTTCACTTTTCCGTTTGACTAATTGTTGTTTATTTTACTTGTCCAAATTAAAACCAAACATTTTTTTTTTTCAATATAATTAAAAGTTTTTTTTTTACTCCGTGTAGTCATTTTCAATCTCTTCAGTCAAGCAACATTTAAATCCAGTAGTAATCAGACCAACATTTTCTTTCATCGAAATACGGATTATGTATAGCTCTCACTTAATTACAGGAATCAAACAAAATGGTCCTCCGGACCGGATATATCATTTCTGTTAAAATAATTGATTTAAGGACCATGTAATCTGTTTAAAAAAAAGTATTAGTACCATAATACATTTCATTTAAACTCATTTTATTATAAAATGTTCACCGAGCTCATTCATTTTAAATTAAGAAATTCATTGGATTTAAATAATTTTGATTTGATTTAAATTCATTTTTCCCCTAACATTGCTTAGAATTATTGATAAATATTGTTCATTAATATACTTAAATCTATTCGCCCAAGATTACGAGTTAGTTATAGTTTGTTAGTTATAGGAACTGCATTTCATATAAAAGAGTCTATGAACATAAAATAAGAAAAATAAAAAGTATTTAAGTGATAATACAGTTATAACATCTCAGATTTCTAAAGCCTGATATAATTATCGACTTTCAAAACAGATAAAAAGGGTCTCATTCATATTGGAAATTGCGGTTCAGAACTATTATTCTCTAATTTTTTTTTTATTTACACTTTTTCAAGGCTGAGACCAAAAGCGGTTGGGGTGAAACTCGATGTCCTCAGAATACCCGTTATGGATACATGAGATCGTTCGCCCACCTAATATCGATGACAATAGAAAAAAAAATCGATTTACCACAGCGGCATCGAACCAGCGTTCGTTATACGATGAAGGCTCTCACCAAACTAAACCGGTTAACTTAAGCCTTCTCCCAGCGACAATATCTCCCTCACAAACAGACACAAATGGGAATAGACCGGATCTGTTAATAATTATCTGTACTCAAAGGAAATATTTAAAAAACTCAGTTTAGGTCTTAAATCTTTGAACCCTGGGTTCTAGTTCTTTCCAAGTGGTTTGCGTCAGGTAGACGGAATGCAGGAGAGAGGTCAGGAATTATCCCATGGTATTATCATTCAAGAGGAAGTGGAAAACGCACATGGAGGGATATAATTAACTGGGAAGGCAAAGGAGAAAAAAAAAGAAATAGTCGGCTATTGAGAAACATTCTCCGCTTGTTTTGAATGTCTGATCAAGTAGGCAGTGTCTAGATCTATCACTTAGCATACCTAATTATCTATCGATATGGATGGCATATAATGGGATCGAAGGTTGTGGATTTTGTAATATACTTTAATTTATTAATGAAATAATAATTGAAACAGAATATATAATAGAATAGAAAATTAAACTTTATTCTGGGACTAAGTCCCCTTAGAATAACAATGATGAATTACTACAAAGTAAAATACAAATCTGGCCAAAAACTAACTTATAAAAATTCTAATATTGTATGCATTATTTAAAAAGTATGTAACCTCTAAAAAATAAACAATATATATATATATATATATATATATAAATGAACATAAAATCTTCTCGAAATTTCCTATTAATGTGATGAAAAAAAAAGAAAAGAAATTATATATTTATATATACATAACTACACAATTTATAAACAATAGGCTATCTAATAGAAAACTAACTTAATACAAAATGTAATAATATCTACAGTGATTTATATAATAATATGCAGACACTAGGATAAAGTAAAATCCTTTTACGTTACTTTTTTTTAAATGTTAGTACATATATTATTTCTTTTACAAGTTTCTTATAAATTATTAGTAAAAACATATTTGAGATAATGTTTACTCCAAATATTTTACTTTTTATGAATTATTTCCGTCAGATATCAAATAGTCCTAGAGCCCATGACAAAAAAGATCTCATATTTCATACTAAGGTGTGTCATCGTGGATATGATTAATTTATAAGAACAAAGCTAAGTATGAAATATTTTTTTGCCATGGGCTTTCGGAGATATACTCAGAAAGACAATGCTCAAAGTCTTGCAAACAAGGCATCAAAGAAAATATGATGGTGGATAGATTAAAAGAAACCGCCCAAAAGAAAAAAAAAAGGAGGGGAAAAATTAAAATTGGAGAGTCAAGTCTTTTGGCAAAAGAAAAGCTGAAAAAATAAGACAGCATAAAGTTTCCCTCTCAGAATATTTTTTTAAAGCGATGAGGGTTGAATAGACTTGAGCATGCGCACTAACGATGTTTCTATAGCAACAGTTGTAAGGTTACGTTTAATGTTTTATCGTTCGATTTAAGTTTAAAAAAATAATAATAATAAAAGTCAGCTATGTAGTTAACCTTAGTTATTAACAAGGCTTCACATTTCTTGGTCTAGTAGCAAACAAAAAATCTTATGAAAATAAATAAAACCTGGGCTATGTACATAGATAAAATAATTGATGAAATAAAACTTATTTGTTTTAAGGTTTTTTTTTTTTAAAACATTTACTGCCTCCTGGAATGGTGCAGTTTAAGGTAAATTAATAATTTAAAACCTAGTCACTGAACCCGGCCTGGGTGGGTTGAAAATTATTTATTTTATGAGGAAAAAAAATACATTATATCTAGAAACCGGAGTTTCGTGCAGTAAAAAACTCAAAATGTGCAAAAACCCAGGAAGTCTAAAGTAGTATACATAACGTACAAAAATCATAGTTTTCGTTTAATTTATAACTAGTGTTGCCCAAAATCGGTCTTGTTCTTACACTTTGCAAGACCAAGACCAGGACTGGAAAAAAAAATCGATTTTTTAAAATAAAAATTAAGGCAAAATAGTTACTAATACTTGTTAATCTTAGTTACTATATGTTAATAATTGGTATAACCAATATATTTTTGCATTTCACTCCTCCAATTTCTCATTCGAGTTTTGTTAGGTTTCTTTTATCTTAAAAATTACAGTAATATTTCTATAGTAATAAGATAATAAGTAACCAAATGATAACGATTTTTTATGGAAAATATGGATTAAAATATCTCAGAAACTAAAAATAGGACCTGCATACTGTAAGATAGGGAAGTGTTCAGCATTTCATCCTCTTTTTAACGAACTATCATTTATAATTTATATTTCATATTAATGATCTCGCCCACACTAAACACACTATTCATATTGCCTTTTTAATGAACAATTAACAAATTATTTGTATTGAATATTTTGAATTCTCGACGTTTTAGGTTCTTTAACCCTGCCATTCCTCCTTTGTTATATATTTAGGACCCTGTCCACTTTCAGGTGATGAATGCTGTTCTCGCATTCCGATGGTGAAATCTCTGCACGAGCCACTCTTCTGATGATGTTTTGGTGTTGTTGCGGGAAAGTAACTCCGAAGGCCTTTGGCCAAGGTTGATGGTGTTTGGTGCATTATCGTTAATTATTATCCAGCTGGTTTCAATATTGTTATCTGACAGATGAAGCGGATATTAAGATAACAGCTAATCGCAGCTGATGTAAATAAACTGAATCTTATATAGGTTCTTCCTGCTGTATATAATGTTAGGTTTCCTACCAAATAAGGAATCACACCACTATTATAACGTGTATAATTATAATAAGAATAAATAATTATATTTATTTTTATATTTGCAAACGAAAACTTTCTGTCTTGCAGAAATCTTTCGTTTGACCAGCTCTGATGAAGTCCTGAAATTTGGGCCGAAACGTCCTAAAAAATAAGAGAGAGAAAGAGAGAAACACTTTATTTTCGTGAAATATAAAATATAAAGGATTGCTGCCCAATTATATTGGGTTGCTATATACACAGCATACTCTTCTATTCTTAGGACAATATATGAACTTATATATAAATATACAGAAGTATTAGTTAATATTAGTAAAATAGATATAAATATATATACATTTTTATTATTTTATTTTTTTTTCCTTCCTTTCATTGTTTATGCTTACCTGATTGGAAAGGTAGAGATTTATTCTCGAATCACGAAATAAATTTCATCACATTGCCGGATTCGAAACGATCTCGCTAGACTCGAGAGCGTTAAAGCGGGCAACGCTACCACCCACGTCTTCCATCATCCATGTCTCGCCTCTATCGGAACTCTCTTCCATAAATGATCGTTCCCCGAGGTCAGCCGGCGGTGGGAAATAGTTTGCACCCAAATTAAAAATTTCACTTCTACTTAATTTTTCATTTTCTTTAACTTTCTCTTAGCCCGTCGAATCTCTAAGGTTAAGCGAATTTTTTGCCAATGTTGAGGTTTTTTAGCACTGTCTCTGACCTGTGCGGTTCCAAACAATAGGTAACGCCTCTCTTATTATTTTCTATTGACAGTTTTCTGTCATTGATGTCCTGTCCTCCTTACATCTGAGGATACATCAAATGTATTCACATACATATTTTATCTTCATGCTACAAAAAAAAAAAAAAAATGCTATCTATATTTTAGGCTACCAATTGGATGTGTGTGACCTTTATAAAAACTGCCACCGAAAAAACAAAATATATAGTTCTTGTTTAGAGTATTAGTAACTTTATTGTTAATATCTATAATAATTTAATAAATTTTAAAAATGTAGATAGATAGATATTTTATTTGTTTTAAGCATGTTTCCCATACAAATAGAGCCTAGCTTGGCTATTGTACAATAATATGGTTTTACAAATTTACATACATATAATTTAAATATAAATAAAATCTACAATATTTAACGTTTATAATGGTTTTCACAAAACATGAATAACAATAAAAATTAAAAACATAAAAAGATTACTGCATAATAATAGTTATATGAACCAGTAACTATGATAGAAACAATAAAAAATAAAAATATTTATAAATACAAACAAAATATTACTCTTAAGATAAACTAAAAACAAACGCTTAATAGAACATGGCTATGATCAACAATTTTGTGTATTCCTATCATATAATAGTAAACTTTATTTAATTTATCTATACAATCGATATTCGGTATGGTTATCAGAAGTTTCTGAGATGAAGTTTTGAAAGAATTTTTGTCATGATACATAAAATGTAACAATTTACTAAATATTTCTGGAGTTAATAGTTTATCATCAATATAGACTCTATGTTATATAGTCTATATATAAAACTTTAATTAATGCTTAAAATTTTCGAACTTTCTTAAAAAATATATATACATAATAATCTTTATTTTTATCTATTGTTGTCCAAATGAAAGACCTAGACGAGTCTTGGTCTTACACCCCCTGTCTTGGGCTAGTTCTTGGTCTTGGTATTTTTTTAGATAATTAGATAATTTTAGATAATTTTTTTTAGATTTTAACCTCACTAAGCCCGAATGAAGAATTAAAAGAGTTAAATGCAAAAGTGTATTGGTTATACCAATTCTTTACATATATTAACTAATATTGTAAATTATTAGTAACATTTCGTCTTAATTTTTATTCGAAAAAATCGATTTTTCTTACCATCCTTGGTATCGGTCTTGCAATCGGATTGCAAAGTACAAGACCGAGAACGATTTTGGCCAACTCTATTTTTATGTATAAGTTTTTAAATGAATTATTTTCCTCATAATTAGTATATTTCTGAGGACCATTTTTATGTTTTTACGGTTTATACACGTAGAGTGGAGTCCTGCTGATGTGATGACGCGGCCGGTGAACCGTACTCTCATGAATGGACGGGTGACAGGCACACACAGAGATAGGACGGAAAAGAAAAACATAAACACAAACATAGCGCATGAATGAAGGACTCGTTCACAATCGTCACAACTGCTAAGCAGTAGGCCACAACAGCCGCTCATTACCATCACTATCTGCCTCAACAACGTCCAACAATCGGTTATGTCAGTCCTGGTAATTAGGAAGGACTGAGAGCTGCGCAGTTGTCCATCCGGCTGTGGGGTTTCCCTAATGTCAGAATAAACTGGTTGTAATGAGTCTCCAGTGAGGTTAGAAAACCTTAGTTCAATTTTGATTATAGGTGCCTATTTATTACATGCGCATTATGAACATATCTCTTAGTAAAACTGATTAACTTTCGAATTTTTTTTTAGTATAACTTGGCCAGTTATAAGGGAGACCGGAAAGTAATTTCATTTTCTTACATTAAATTCAGACATAAATTTCACTCCTGTATTTATTTTTAATCATTGATGGAATCACCCTCATTATCAGCAAACTTTTAGTGTACAAATTTTCAATGTAGACTGTATACAAGTAAATTGGTTTTTGATAAAAATATATAGAGATGACATTTTGGACATCATACTAATTTTCTAATTTTATAAAGTATTGAAACGATCTATAGCATTAATTTATCGAATTATTAATAGCCTACTAAATTGATTCTAAGTTCAACGGACCTAATATCGATGAAAGATGACGCCAGATACTCGATATGAATAATGCATCACCAACTGTTACCCCGGCTGTATCTTCTTTACGACGGGAAGGCAAGTGGCGCTAGGAATACGGTCCCGTCAGGATATGATATAAGGGTTAACGTCAAAGCAATTATAGTCAAAAGTAAGAAAAATGTACAAAAGGTACAGACAAACCGATGATAGGTAAACCGAACATTTATGAATACTTTGACTGCCTCCAAACACTGGAAGGTACGTATGGCATCAATCGTGAGAAATATGAAGAAGATATACTTCTTAGTATCTACTTCATGTGTTCTTACACAGATTATTAGGAAGCTGGTGAGAAAATGTTAATCAGTCCAACGGATCGTGTTCCCGTCCACGGCGAAGACTGAAGAGATCCCTTGTGGCTCCCATCCGCTCTGGTTGATCTGGGTCATCATCTTCGATAAGGAGGCACCGGCTACAAGAGACCATCAACAGATGTTTCTTTTGGTCTGAGGCCGATCTATTGCCTTGAGAACTGAAACAAGGCTCGGGATCGTATGATCAATGTTAATGTACAAGTGTTATAGCGCTTGTATATATATATATATATATATATATATATATATATATATATATATATATATATATATATATATCAAAACTAGTGTATAGTATATATTGTTGGCGGTACTACAGAAAAAAAAAAAAAAAAAAAAAAAAAAAGGCATAAAAACGAACCTCCCTTATCTTGTTTGCATGTTTGGAATACCGATTGTAGTATCCTATTCTTCTAATTGTAAACCCAAACAACTCCTTCTTTTCACTTGGACGAACTGTTTGTCAGTAGCCCTTCTATTCGTGGCGGAGATGTTTGGACAGAGCTGGCTGGCACATGGCCTCCGGTTTGTTTGTCCTGGCCACTCCTGAGGAGGTCGTTAGCTGCGGTCTGTGGCCTATCCTTCACCTCTGGTCTGTTTGGTATTGGAATGGTGTCTGGTCTCTTGTCGCTGTGGTAGGAGCTGGTGTTGGTTCGGTCCTTCCGATTGCTTTCTTAGCTCTCTATCACCATCTATTTTTCCAAAACTGCTATTTATGTCGCTGTTTTTTTTCTGTTTGTCGTGGTAGAATCATAACCAAGTTTTAAAATTCACTGAAGTAATAAGACATATTATCTTTGAACGACATTACATAGCTTATGTTTTATTACTCTTGACATTTAAATATTCCCCATTATTTATACGATACAGCATATATGTAGTTGAATTAATGCAATTCATTTTTTAACTCAATATGGATCGAATTAAAGTTAAAAGGTAATGTTACTTTTCTGGCACACCTTGCTGAAAAAAACTACCACCACTTTGTTCACGGAATTTAATTGTGTAAAATAATGTTTAAGAGACAGGACATTAGCCTGTAGTACAGGCAGCTTTTTATCAAATTCTTTAGATCTGCCCAGAACATCGTGAATGGCTTCATCTTATAATAACTTACAAAATTTTTATTTACGAAAGTTCTCGAAATGAGACTCTTTCGCATTTAATTAATTATCTCAATGAAGTACTAAAAACTCATAAATACTCATGCATTTTCCTCTTCAATCGTAATTTAATTTGATCACAAAATGGAGAAAAATTGTAGCCTACAAAATATTTGGCCGTCTGTCCTATCACACTAACCGTGTCACTAATTTTGTAGGCCACCGATTTGTTCGATTTTTTTAATTAAATTATCTTACGATTCGACTGGAAAGCAAATGGGTGTCCATGAGTTTTTAGTACTTAATTAAATTTTGCTGATGTCAGATTGAAAACGCTCCAATTCCAGGAGTTTTTGTAAATAATAAAGTTGTAGGTTACAATGAGATGAAGCTATTCCCAAAGTGTTAGGTGGTTTTTAATAAATAATTTGATAAAAAGGGCTCTGTGCCAAAGACTACATCTCTGTGAAACATAGCATTGCTAATGTACACTTTCATGTTGCTCTTGTAACATTCTATCATTTCTTTCCCATTCCATTTAATAGACACTTCATATATGAAGCTGAATTAATAGAAATGAATATTTATTCTTTAATTGTTTAATACGAATAACGCACAACACTGAAAACAACACTCAAACTAAAGTTCCTGGTAACCTAGCGGAAACACGTTATTACATACCTATAATGTTAAAGTCTTTAGTGATCTCTCCTGGTGGTTGAAAACAAAATTATTATACCTCAATTTCTGGGCCAAAGAGTTGGTCGAGAAACTAAACGTGTAAAATGGTCTTTATCAATTTTGGTAGGTTTGTTTCAAATTTTGTGAAGAAGTTTTTTCTCAGCCAGTTTTTTTTTCTTCTTTTAAACATTTTGAAACTTTTTGGGAAAAGAAGTTTCATTTTAGCATTTCCTTTGAAACTTTTTTTGCAATGAAGTTCTTGATTTATGATAAAGGTTTAACTTTTATTTATTCAAGCTCTTAAAAAATGTTCCGTTAAATGAACATTAAACTGTGATTGGACTTAGATTATGATTTGTTATAATTAGTCTAAAATGAAATATTTAATGTTTCGGTTGTTTGAGTAGCTATTAATAAAAGTAATTTTTCAGGTCGACCTTTTAAAACTTTTAATAAAAGTTTTTTTTTTAAAATAAAAGTTCTGTAAAACCTTTACTTGAAAATGGCTGAGAGGAAATTACTAATTCCAAAAGAACTGAAAAAATAAAGACAGTAAAAACTTCAATGATACCGAAACTTTACTATAATAAAAGTTTTTTTCTCTTTCATACCCTGGAATTTTTTTTTTTTATCCCTGTTATAAAATTATGCAAATCAAGTTGTATATGTTATGAGTACATGCTTTCATATACTTTCAAATCCATTTATTTCTTTGTTATTGTTGTTCTCCCAATCCTGGTCTTTTCGAATTTATGCCAGAGTTACAAGTATCCCGCCACCGGAATTTCAACTAATCTTCGGTTTATCAAGTTTCCCGAAACTTGATAAACCCACATCGGAGACATTTTTTATAAAAACAGGAATCATTATTATAAATACTCATCCTCCAAATAAAGATGGTGCATACGCCTCATCCCAATTTTTTAAAAATTATTTTCCTTTTCTTAAAAACGCAGTGCAAGGGAATATAAAATTGGAGAAATTGTAGATCATATATAATTCCACTTTCTATGCCTTTTCCTTTTTTGTCTCTTTAAAAGTTCCACCAAGTTGAGTCCAAAAAAAAATATTCTTCCTTCCAAAAATTCATGACCCCCGTAAAAATGTGCCCCCTCAAACATTTTGGTGGAGTTACGTGCGCCATCAAACCCCCTTCTGGCTTCCCCTGTATAAAAGTATCTCATTTTATCAGTCTTACGAAAACGGCTGTGGCTTTGTTAGTTTCAACTTAGCCAGTAAAACGAAGCGATTTGCCTTGATTCGGTAACCTGGATTGCTCAAAGTTCTTTCTAAGCCGAACTCGTTATCTTCGGTACTTTCTCCAGGCCATGGTACTTGCTACGGACCGTGGGGGTTCGAATCCAGTGGCCATTCGAGATAGTTTCATAATGAGGCCAGTGGGCAAACTCGGTCATGAGACGCTATAATTCTTATATTTTAGGAAGAAGTCTCGTAACTCGTTGTTGTTGTTGAAAGTGCTTAAGTTAATGATGGTGTTGTTTGTATGATGACCCTGATTCACAGCCGTAAAGATGTTTTTAGTAGCCAATAAAACACACTCTCTCCCTAATAGTGTGCTGGTTGTTTATGTCGCATCCTTGCCCCATCACAATCTGTGTTAATTGCTTTCGATTTCAATTGCTTGTTTTTCATATCGATTTGGAGTTTTAATGACGTTCATCTAATTGCAATAGATAATAGTTGTATTTTAGATAAATGAAACTAATAATAATACAATGTTTTAAATATTTAATTTATTCTTAATATTGAAAATAAATAGTGTTATAACTAGGTTTTTCTTATCGTAAAGGTTTGAACATTAATGTACGTTTTGACATTTCACAATCTATGGGACAAACAAATATACAAATATGTTTCGTAATTGAACGGCACAATTTTAGGTATGTGTTCACTAACACAAAATAAACAAAAAAGTTCATATTAACATATGTCTCAAACTCATTTATTAAACAAATATCAAATGTTAAAGATTTATTATTTATTTACTAAATTAAGACTGACTGTACAAAGTTTAACGTGTTTAATACTAAATAACAGGTTCTAATCACCTGATAAACAAATGAACGATAAGCAATGACAGTAGTTCAGGGTTACTGCGCGCTCTGTGACAAAACCTCGTACTCAAGCCTCGTACATCCTCGTACGCTTGTTCATTCATAACTTGTACTATTATAAGCCCAGTGTTATTGTTTTTTTTAATAGTAAAATTAGATCAGAATTTTTTATTTTTACCTCCATTCATATATTTTAAAGCCTTTTTACATTACTTTTTTCTTAAGTTAATGGGTCAAGAAGTAAAATTAGCTTAATAAAATATATAAACAAGTTTATATATTTTTATAAACTACTGAACACGTTATATAAAAATTAAAATAGCTAAATAAACTTCTTAAAGTACTCTTCATAAGTAGATCCAAGATTTAGTTAGGGAGAAGGAATATTTTTTTTTCTTTTTTCTAAAAACAAAACAACTACTTTTATGAAAGGATGTTAGTGGTTCTGGAAGGTTAATAAAAATTAATTATTGGGGCATTAATGCTTTTAGAGATATCCATTATAATATAAAAAAATAATATATTGTGATTGATTCAGTATTTAGCTTACAATTATATATCGCACAAAATAAATGTGGATCACTGAAAAAATATGTTTTTTTCATTATTTAAGATGGGTTCATTATGAATACTAGTTAATTATTCAATTAATTACTTTACTCGATTAAATATCGAAAATAATTTTTTAAATTACGGTAATAATTTTTAAAAAAATTCAATTTATCTAGAATATATTTACAATTACAGTTTTATGATGGAAATAATAATTACGACGGAAATAATGGATATACTTTCTCGTATTTTATTTTATGCTCGATAAAAATGACGGTAAAAATTTCTGTTTAATTTTCTTTTACAACACATTTTAAAAAATACATATTTATAAAAAAAGTTTTATTAAGGAAATAATGGATATGGTTTCTTATATTTTATTTTATACTGAATAAAATCTAAATTTTTTTTAAAATTTTATTTTCTAGAAAATTAAAAAAAAATATATATACAATCATGGTTTTATGAAGGAAATAATAATCATACTCTAATTAAAGAAGATATAATTGCAATTTATTTGTCTATAAAGCAACAGAAGTTCAGTCTTTCATATCAACATAAATAATAATACAGACAAAGTGACCGTAAAACAATTCTAAACTTCATTCATAAAAATATAACCTTGCATTGCAAACGTCAGCAAAACTTATGTACGAGGTACGAGGCTAGTCTATCCTCGTACCTCGTACATTACGTCATAA